AATTCTGAATTTCTGAATTTCTGAATTTCTGAATTTCTGAATTTCTGAATTTCTGAATTTCTGAATTTCTGAATTTCTGAATTTCCGAATTTGAGAATTTCTGAATTTCTGAATTTCTGAATTTCTGAATTTCTGAATTTCTGAATTTCTGAATTTCTGAATTTCTGAATTTCTGAATTTCTGAATTTCTGAATTTCTGAATTTCCGAATTTGAGAATTTCTGAATTTCTGAATTTCCGAATTTCCGAATTTCCGAATTTGAGAATTTCTGAATTTCTGAATTTCTGAATTTCTGAATTTTTGAATTTCTGAATTTCTGAATTTCTGAATTTTTGAATTTCTGAATTTCCGAATTTGAGAATTTCTGAATTTCTGAATTTCTGAATTTCTGAATTTCTGAATTTTTGAATTTCTGAATTTCTGAATTTTTGAATTTCTGAATTTCCGAATTTCCGAATTTCCGAATTTCTGAATTTCTGAATTTCTGAATTTCTGAATTTCTGAATTTCTGAATTTCTGAATTTCCGAATTTCCGAATTTCCGAATTTGAGAATTTCTGAATTTCTGAATTTCTGAATTTCTGAATTTCTGAATTTCTGAATTTCTGAATTTCTGAATTTCTGAATTTCTGAATTTCTGAATTTCTGAATTTCTGAATTTCTGAATTTCTGAATTTCTGAATTTCTGAATTTCTGAATTTCTGAATTTCTGAATTTCTGAATTTCTGAATTTCTGAATTTTTGAATTTCTGAATTTCCGAATTTCCGAATTTCCGAATTTCTGAATTTCTGAATTTCTGAATTTCTGAACTTCTGAATTTCTGAATTTCTGAATTTCCGAATTTGAGAATTTCTGAATTTCTGAATTTCTGAATTTCTGAATTTCTGAATTTCTGAATTTCTGAATTTCTGAATTTTTGAATTTCTGAATTTCTGAATTTCTGAATTTCTGAATTTTTGAATTTCTGAATTTCCGAATTTCCGAATTTCCGAATTTCTGAATTTCTGAATTTCTGAATTTCTGAATTTCTGAATTTCTGAATTTCTTAATTTCTAAACTTCGGAATTAAAATTTTCTTGGATTTTTTGAAATTCTGATTTTTCTCCATTTTTCAAAAATTTGATTTAAGAATTTCAGAACTATCTGGAATTTCTGAATTTATAATCTTGAAGTATTGAATTTCTGAATTTCTGAAATATAGAATTTCAGAGTATCACAATTTCAGTACTTTCAACATTTCAAGTTCTTTGAATTTCTGATTTTGCTGAAATTTTATGTTCTTTTCTAGTTTCTGAGAATTCTGAAAGTTCAGAGTTTTTAAAATTTTACAATTTACAGAATCTCAGAATTTTAGAATGGAATAATTATTCTCCTTTTTTTCTCAATTTCACATTTAACTCTATTTCCAGGAACTAGGCGGAAACGAATCACAAAAACGAGACTGTAGAGGCATCACGACAGCGATTCTGGTGGTAATGGTGATTTTGGGAATGATTTTTGCGGCGTTATTCGCTTTTACACCCCGTGAGTTGTATCTGAGCTACAGTGCCAGTCAATCAGATATACAAAAATGAATTTTCCAGTTGATTTTCCGCCATTTTCGACCATTTTCAGAATTTTAGAGCTCGATTGTCAAGTTTCCGATCACTTTGAAAACTTGGGGGGGGGGGGGGTGTAACAGACCTAGACAGGAAACTTTGCATCAATGGAATTTTTTTAAAAATCCCTAGTTTTTCAGATATTTGCCGATTTCTGAATGACCCCCTTTGGGCCCGTTTTTGTACTAAAAAAGTGTTTTTCAGGAGTCGCCAGAATGCTGAAAAACTGGAAAAATTGAAATAATTCTATTAATGCAAAGTTTCCAATCTAGATCTTTTTTACATCCTTCAAAATTTTCAAAGTGATCGGAAACTTGACAGACAAGATTCAGACACCTAAATTGGCTGAAAATTAACTGAAAAATTCATTCTTTGTATTTCTTATTGACCCGTACTGTACATGTATTGGATGATAATTTTTTATTGACTTTCTAGACCACCAATCTTTAAATTACAGTATTCAACTCCGCACACATTGGCTCTAAACGCCTGAACATTACGGATCTTCGAGCTCTACGATATCCCTATGCCGAATTTGCATTTTCGGAAGATAATGTGATTATGCAAAGTTGGGAAGGTGTCGAAATCGTGGAAAATGGAGTTAGCCGCTTGATTTTTGGGAGGGAAAATGGGGTAAGACATAGAAAACAAGAAAAAAAAACTAAAAATTGGTGCAAAGAGTCGAACCAAAGAAAGCTAGACTGGAAGGCGCGTGCCTTGCCGGCTGCGCCACAGGGGCAATACTCGGGTAAGGGCACATTGCATACAAGAGGGGGCGCCGAGCGGCGGCGCGGAGTGGATGAGGGGTGGACAAAATTTTTTTCCAATTCTTGAAATCACAATTTAAAAATTCAAGAATTTACAATTTCAGGCTGAAATCTCACCATCTGCGGATCTTAAATACTTTGCATTAATGGACCACGCCGCGAATCCAGGAATGAATCCGCAAAACGAAACGTTTCATTTGAAAATAGTGAATAATAATGAGAGGTTACTACATCCAATGATTCCTTCTGATATTGAAGACTTTTTTCGTGATCTCTCGGATTCCAGAATCACCCATGACATTGGTTTGAGGAATGAGGAATCCGTGATTCAGGCGTTCAAATGGAATGGGAAACAAAACGATTTTGTGGGTTTTTTGACAGTTGTGTTGTAGTTTTTGTAGTCTTTGTAGTTTGTAGTTTTTGCGAATTTGTCGAAAAGCTTATTTTCAATATATGTAGTCATTCTATATTTCTGTTTGTCCAGATGTCCTCAACATTCCACCTACCGTAATCCTAATAGTCCCTAACTCCCAAAACTTCAGGTGTTCGTCGAATCCAACAAAATCTACTACAAATCAAGTCCAGAAGACGAAGGCACCATAAGAGTGAGCAATGGTGGTGAGAATACGGTGGACGGACTATTCGATTGGATTTACGAAGAAGAATTATTCGGGAAAAAAGATGCACTCTGGTGGTCCCCCAGTGGAAATCGCCTGGCATTCGCTGCATTCGATAACCATCTCACTAAAAATGTTTCATTGAAATCCTATCATCGTCTTCATTCCTATACAATTGATACCAATTTACACTACCCGAAAACGTTCGCTAAAGTTCTTCCAACGTATTCATTATCGATTTGGGACAAGAAATCTGAGCAATCGAAACAGATGGATGTTCAATTGAAGGATAGCGTTTCCTATCACTATTTGTTAGCTGTCAAATGGATTGAAAGTAATGGTGTTGAGAAAGTGGTTTCGGTTTGGGCCAATCGCTATCAAAATGAAGTGGCATTGACAATTTGTGATTGGGAATCTGCAATTTGTCATTTGGTGAGTTTTTTTTTTCAAAAACTTGCTCAAATCTCGAAAATAATGATTCGAAGTAGTGAAATTTGCCCTGACAAACAACCAAAAAATCATTTCGAAGAGGAAGGAATCGAACTTTTGGGCGATCTCTCCAAAGCCAGCAGCGTTAGCCGCTGCGCTAACTTGGCAGTTCGCGCCTGGGATCTACGGAAGAAGGAGGAGGCGCCGCGGGGGAAAGCTGCCGACAAGGCGCTTCTGTTCGTTTCAAACCGCGCGCTGCCTATCTGGCTCAGTGGCTAACGCTGCTGACTTTAGAGTGAACACCCAAAAGTTCGATTCCCTCCTTCGCTGAATAGTTTTTTGGTTTTCTATTAGTGCTAGAAACGTTATTCAGAACCGGATTCTGTAGATTTGAAGTTTTTTGAAAAAAAAATTGGACTTTAAAGATTATTTTTCCAGGAATTCGAGTACAAATACGCTGCCAAACGATGGGTGACTCATGACGACTTCAATACTCTCATCTTCTTTGAAGACACTCTATACTTCCTCCTTCCCCGTGATATGAAAGATAACGCTTTCCAACAAATCGCATCACTTCGAATCTCAAATGGTCAGCCGAAGACTCCAAAGTTTTTGCAACTCGGAGAATATGATGTTAGTTGGATTGACGGAATCAATAAGGCTACACGAACCCTGTACTTCCATGCGACTGCACCAAAACCATCTCAACGGAATTTGTTTTCTTTCGATTTGAGTTCTCCAAAACCTACTCTAGACTGTTTGACTTGTAAAATCGATAATTGTACTTGGGTGCAAGCAATTATTGATGATGAGATGAAGAAGGCGGTGGTTTCATGTAAAGGACCAGCTGCACCACATACGGTTGTCCTGAATTTGACTCAAGGATCCAAAGAGTGTGAGTTAGATAAGGACCTACAAAAGTAGTTAGAACTTTTTCGATTTTTTTTGAAAATTTCAGAGTATACTAAACAAAAATAGAGCTTCATTTTTGTAATTGACAACTTTTTTTACAAATTCATCCGAAAGAGATATACTGCTTTTCAGACTCCGAACTTTTGGAGGATCGATCTTATCAAAATCGTTTCGAGGAAGCCAGCTTGCCAGTCATCATAACAGAAACTATCAAAATATCGGATACCTATGGTTAGTTTTTTTTGAGGTCGTCACCCAGATTTCAATTTCTGGGTCGTGACCTAGATTTTAATTTTTAGGTCATGACCTAGGTTGCAGTTTTTAGGTCATGGCCTAGATTTTGATTTTTAGGCTATGACCTAGGTTTCAGTTTTTAGGTCATGACCCATATTTCCATTTTTAGGTCATGACCCATATTTCCATTTTTAGGTCGTGACCTAAATTTCCATTTTTGGTCATGACCTAGGTTTCAGTTTTTAGGTCATGGCCTAGATTTTAAATTTTAGCTCATGACCTAGATTTCAATTTTTAGGTCATGACCCAGATTTCAGATTTTAGGTCGTTACCTAGATTTCAATTTTTAGGCTTTTCAATATTTTTTTCCAGATGCCCAAATCAAGCTCTCAATTCCAAAAGACATTTATACCCGGGAGAAAACTCGAGCCATCCCATTATTGGTCCATGTCTACGGTGGACCAAACGATCAGAATACAAAAGATGCGAGCCAAATTGGAATCGAAGAAATCGTCGCTTCTGGACAACAAGTCGCGATTTTGAGAATCGATGGAAGAGGAAGTGGTGGCCGAGGCTGGAAATATCGATCAGCAGTTTATGGACAGCTGGGAACGGTGGAAGTGGACGATCAGTTGAATGTTATAAAGTAATTTCTTTGAATTTTTGAAGTTTAAAGGGGCGTGACCTACAGTATTTCAGTAATAGGGTAACTTCGAAGGGCTGAAAAGATTAAAATTGTTCATTGGATTTGTCTGAAACTCTCAAATTTTACTAAACAAAGTTAGAGCTTTAGTTTTGTTGCAAAACAGCAAGATAATCTGGAAAAGCACCAATTTTCAGAACTGTTCTCCGTGTCTATAAACATCTTTTGGATTCCAATCGAGTAGCTGTATTTGGATGGTCCTACGGTGGTTTTATGACACTTTCAATGGTTAATGAGGCAGCCGAGAACATGTTCAAATGTGCGATTTCAGTGGCTCCGGTTACTAATTTTGCTTATTATGGTGAGATTTTTTTTTTGAAAATTGGAGAATAGACACATTTTTGAATTTCTGAATTTCTAAATTTTTGATTTTCTAAATATTTGAATTTCTAAAAATCAAAGAATTTCCAAAAATTCAAAAATTCAAATAATTGAATTTCCGATTTCTTGGATGTTTTGGTTTTAAATTTTGCCGAAATTCGAAAAAAAATTGAATCTATGAATATTATATTTTTTCAAAATTCCTGAAATTTGAGATATCCAAATTAATCGGAATCTACAAATTTCTGAAAGTCTGAGAAGCGGAAAACTACTAAAATTTTCAAAAAAAAAAAAGAAGAATTTCCCGTATCTTGGATATTTTGATTTCACATTTTCTCGAACAGACTATAAATTTCATAAAACGTTGATTTTCGTAAATTTTCGAATTTCGAAATTTGAATTTATGTAAATTCTATGATTTAAAAAATCCGGCAGTCTGAATTGTCCAAAAATGAGTATTTCCAGACGCCACATACACCGAACGCTACATGGGTGATGCTCCATTAGAAGCGTACAGTGACGTCACCAAAAAATTGGACAACTTCAAAACGACCCGTCTTTTATTGATGCATGGATTGTTGGATGGTAAGGATTTGACAGTTTTGTAACCGGACGTTTTAGAACGTCCAGTTGCAAAGTGTCCCAAAACGTAGGCAGTGTCATGGCCAGCTGCTAGCGGCAGCGACCGGCCGGCCGAGGCCAGCTGAGGTCTCTATAATATTGGCTAGCTTCGGGCGCGGTTAGCCAAAATTCTGCACAGCCTTGATCGAAAAAATTCCGAAAAAAATGTTAAAAACAATTTTCATTATTTCCAGACAACGTTCATTTCCAAAACAGTGCAATTCTGATTGAAGAGCTTCAAAATCGTGGGATTGATTTTGATCTAATGGTCTATCCGAATCAAGCACATTCACTTTCCAGTCGGACCGCCCATGTCGTTGGAAAAATGTCACAATTCTTGAAACAGTGTTTTTCGATGGACAAGTGAAATAATTATTCAGAAAAAAAATAATGAGTAAAACTAGGGAGAAAATCTTGCATTGTTACGGGTCGAAATGCTTCTTGCTGTTCTGAACTTTTAATTGTATTTTCATTTTTTGAAAATGTCAACAAATTTGGATTTTTCTTTTTGATAATATTTTGCTTTAAATAATAAATAAGGCTTTGAAATAATGTTTTTTTTTAATTTTCGTTTTATCAGAATTTTTAAAGAATTAAAAATTTTGGAATAAAAATTTTTTGAACAGAAAGTGGGATACAACCTCGAATTTCAGAAACAAAAAAAGTGATGACCTAGATTTCAATTTTCAGGTCATAACCTAGAGTAAATTCTTAGGTCATGACCTAGATTTAAATTTTTAAATCATGACCTAGATTTAAATTTTTAGGTCATGGCCTAGATTTCAATATTTATTACATGGCCTAGGTTTCAATTTCTAGGTCATGACCTAGATTTAAATTTTTAGAGCATGAGCTAGATTTCAAATTTTGCGTCCTGACCTAGATTTCAATTTTTGGTGTTATTCGATTTTTGGTCATGACCTAGATTTCGAGTTGTAGGCTAAGGCCTAGATTCCTATTTTAAAGTCATTACCTAGATTACAATTTTCAGGTCATCGCCTAGTTTCCAATTCTCAGGTCATGATCTAGATTTCAGTTTTTGTGGTCATCACCCGAAAATTGAAATTCAGGTCAAGATCTAAAAATTGTAATCTAGGTCATGACCTAAAAATTTAAATCTAGGTCATGATTTGAAAATTTAATGAAAATATTCAATGAAATATTTCAAAGTGAGAGAAATACGGATTGAGACAGGTATATATATGTTTTATTTCGTCAGACACATGATTGTTTCCTTTGCGTCTCCAAGATTTTCACACTACATCTTTTTTCTGCTGTCGCCTTGTACTTCTTCACTCTCGTCTTCGTGAACTAACACTTAGCAATGTATTGATTATAATAATACTGATTCTAAATTGGAATTTACCGTAAAACCTGTATTAGAAGGGCCGGTTTTTCTATTGTTCCAAGTTACTTCCGGAGGGCCCTTCTTTTAGGGGGAACCTTGAAATAAACCAAAAACTTTTTTATAAAAATTAGATGAGTTTCCGTTCAAAATTCACAAAAAGCCATTAATTTCACGTTTTCACTGAAATTTTTAATTTCAAAAAACAAGTTTTCAAGATAGCCCTACTATTTTCCCAAACCCTTCTCAGAGGGCCCTCCTATTACAGGGGCGCTTGAATTAAATGAGCTCTTTCTATAACATGTTTTCCGGTTTGTTTTTGAGAATTTTTTTTTTCATGTTCCAGCTAATTTTTCTGAAAATCAATGTCAACGATTAAAATACGAAAATTTATTGGAACTTCTGAATTAAAAAATCACAATTACATTTCAACACAATTATTTTCTGCAAAGTTCGACATCATAAATATAAATGTTGCCTTTTTAACTAATAAAAAGTTCTACAGAATTCAAAAAATCAAAACTATTCATCTTTTTTTTTATAATCATGTACAATCGCTCCTTCTGGAACATCTTCAACTTCAATGATATAAAAATACGTGGCACAATATTCTTGCAACATCGGATGGCGATGAGAAAGAATCTGGATTAGCAGAATTTTCTTCTCCGAGTCCTTGATTCGAAAATACCAAGTTCTTGACAATCCAGAGATAAACGGAAGACCCCACAAGTTAGAAAGTTCGTCGGTTTCGTTGAAACTTTTCAAATCGAAAAACCAATACTCGAGTTTAGAAAAATTGAGAAAAGTCTGAAATACTTGCAGTTCTAACAATTTTAATTCAAAATTCGCAAACCTTTTTCAAAGTGTCCAAATCCCTAGCAGTGAATGAATCCGTTTTCAAAGAAATTGATGAAAAATGACAGACGTCTTCTGCTCTCAAATTCAACAAATGCATATCACAAACAACTTCTATTGCTTTTTTCCAGTGCTCAGTTTTAACAATTTCATCAATATCAATTCCCAAATTATTATCCACTGAATGTAATTCGAGAACCTCCAGAGTTTGTGGATCAGTACATCCTAACATCGAAAGTACTTGAGAGTGATGGAACACTGTTATACTTATGTGCCTTGTTTTGATTATCTGACCGGATGCACTGAGCATATTGCTCAGCTTATTTTGAAGCTGACAATCATCCAAAGATAAAGTTAACACTTCGAAATTGTACCTTTGAAATTTCAAAATCAATTCCAGATCTCGAATCGCCACATCCACAATATTCGAGTTCTCCAAAATTGTCTTCTTCTCTTGGAATTTTCTACAATTTTCAGATGCAGAATACTCCATGCGATAGAAAGTAAATTTGGGATCCATAAATTGCAAAACTATATTCTTTTCCTTATTTTCAGAAATAATTTCAATTTGCTCGAATTCCGAATCTGGCAATTTTGAATCTTCCAAATCGTCAATAAAATTTCGAAAATCTCGACACACTTGGCGAAGGGACAAACTGAAAGTTTGAAACTTTCCAAAATTTACTAATTAAAAAAAGTACTCACACAGCTTTGAAATCTGAAAATCGTATAAATTTTTCCAGTACACGATCCGGCATTTCCATGATTGATGTCATTGTTGAAAGTAGAGAAATAAAAAAATAAATAGTTTAGAAAAGGAATGAAAAGACGACTGGAGAGTGGCAAATGTTGGTTTTTGAGTCTGATTTTGTGATTTTGTGTGCAAATTGAGAGAGGTTTATATGTGTTTCACATTGGCCACATGTGTGTTTCGTCTGCATCTCCAAGGATTTCACACTATTTTCTCATCGCCTTGTTCCTATTCACTTTCGTCTATGTTAGGCAAGATTTCACAACATAGTAACTTTTAACATGCAAATGTTAATGAAAATGACTTAAAGAAAAAACTGTTTAGTTTTTCTTGTTTCCTCGGAGAGATATCAAAAAGTGGTCTTAAATTTAAAAAAAATCCAAATCTCAAAAACTCAGAATCCGTCTTAATTTGAAAAAGTATACAATTCAAAAGTGCAAAGGTGGAACTTCGGTATGAGACCTATATCATTCGAAAGCTGAGAATGAGACATTTTCAATGAGACATTAGAATGAGACATTTGCTTTTGCAATTTCTCAGATTTCGAACCTGATTTTCTCGAAACTGGTAGATCTTTAGCAAAATCTGAAT